GTGTGTTAGTTAGTGGATGGGAAAAGTAGTAAAGCTGAAAGTGATGTAGGAAATGATTCTTGCAGCAGATCTTGCTGCTGTTGAGTATCCCAGGGGAAATTTACAAAAACTTTGGGAAGATTTGTCTTTTAATGGGAACTTTTAAAATAATGGGGATGGTTTTTAATAATCTGCTGCTTCAGCTTATGGATACCTTGCTGAACTCCCTTGGGTTAAGGTGGAACTTTCACTTTGGCCAGCTAACTCCTAGTTAGTCCATGCAGATATAGCTAGTTGTGGCTACTCCTTGGTTGGGTTATGACACTTGGTAGATGATAAATATGATCCACTGTGTCTGTGAAGAATATAGCTTTTTTGTGATCTTGCCTTGGGATAAGGAGATGGTTTTTTGAGGGCCTGAGTTTGTTCTCTCTTGTATGATTATAATTTGGTGGCAATTTGTGCACACATTTAACTTGTTCTACAAAGAGGTAACACGTACTCAAAGCACCAGAAGACTGGAACCGCAGAATGGGAGCTATTTCAGTAAAGGTTGTGGTTCTTCACGTTTTTGTTGAAAGAAAAAGAGAGAGAGAGAAGGAATTTCTAAAGTCGTGACGTGTCCTAAGCGTTACTCCATGAGGTGATTTAGGAATTGTTTGCACCAGTAGTGTTTCTGCCATTCACCAGGTTTCTGTTATTGCCATAATACACTACATTTTTCTCCACGATACCTTATATGAATTGTGAGGCAATGGAACTAGCTGACTTTCAGAATATTAGTCATTACTGTAAATAAGAAAAGGTTTTTATTAAGGTGTTTATATCGTTTTTTAAAAAGCTATGCTGCTCTAAGCCATGTGAAAGACTGCCTCATATTAAATGAGTCTGTGCAGAAGTGGGCTCCTGTTGCCTCTTAGGATATTTACCGTTTGAAATAAGAGAAGCAAGAAAAGTTCCACTGTAGCCAGTGTTGGTGCAGTTTTACCAGTGCTTTATCGCAGGAAGGTGAGGGAGCGTGGTGATGTTGTTCTGTCAGGGGCTTGATCACGCAGAAGCTATAGAGTGGATGCTTACAGTTACAAAGTTAGATGGTATCATTTTCAGTGGAGATTTTTTTATTTTGTTCTTTGCCATGGCGACTGTTGTGATGGTGTGCCTCAAGTTACTCTTCTTACATTTTAAGACAACTTTAGTCAGACTTTAATAAGGTAAAGACAAAGATATGTAGCAGTCTGTTTTATTGGTCATGCTTGCACTGTATTCATGTAATTAAAGAAAAACCCCTCTTAAAATACTGCCCATGCAATCTGTGCTAAAATACGTATCAAACTGAGGAAGTCTGTTCTCAGAGACTTCCTTGTTAATTATTTAAGAATGCAAGAGGGGGTGATCCCGGGAAATTAAGCTCTTGTCTCTGCTGTAATTGCCCTGTGATACGATCTTGTGTTGAAACGGGATCTTTCCTCTAGATGAAACCTTCTGAGCTATTGCAGAGCATGGGGGTTTTTATGAAACACACAAATTGAAAGTTCACAGTTCTGTAAAAGGTACTTCAGTTACAGCAAGGAGGAATATTCCCCTCACAGATAATAAAATTGTCATAATTTCAAGGACACTGCTGTAGTCCCCTTAGCAAAAGCTGAAAGTTGCTACTTTTGTTGGGCCTGATGGAGGACAAACAGGTGGATAATGGGGAATGTAACAGCAGGGTAACCGTGAGAAAGGAGGGCTGATGCACAGTGATAATTACATGTTAATTAAGGAGAAGAAGAGGGAGGCAGATAGATGTGGAATATAAATGCTGTGGAAGAGACTGACAGTGAGGAAAGGAAAACATGGGGGAGCTGATGGTCTCTGGGTCTCAGGGAGTGCCCCCGGGGTGGCTTGCCAGAGAAGAGGGCGGCTGCAGGAGCAGCACATGGGGCTACGTTTCTGTGATGTGCAAGGTGCTGATCGCCTTATCCAGCCCTTTCTGGGTAGGGTGCTGTGGAGGTGAAGAGAGTCCCAGTCTTGCTGTCAACTTCACAGCTGGTTCCTGTCGGCGATGAGAGGGTTGACTGCTCGTGAAGCATCTCTCTGTACGTGGGGACTGTGTTACAGGGTTGGAGGCTTCGCAGCCTGGCTCTTTGCAAGTCTGCAGCAGGGCTGTTGAAGCCAGGTGTCAGCTTCCAGCCTGTAACCACAGAAAGGGTGCCTAACAAAGTGACACTAGTATCACAGCGGTAACACCATGCACACCATATGATACATCAATTAATTTCACATGCCCTTGAAATGTACTGGAAATTCGGGAGATAACATGCTTAATGTTATCTCCTACCTCACTTAATTTGACTTTATTTGAAAAATATATTGAAGTAGATAGAGGGTCACTGAGAAAATGAACAGCATAGTGAATAGACTGTTGCAAATGATCATGTTACTACAGCTTAATGCGTTAAGGCATGGGCATAAGCTGCTACCTGGGTGGTTTTAACTGATGTGCTCTCTAATTGCAATAGGATAGACATAAATGTGTTGTCAGCTGCTGTTGTGCATCAAACTAGTAATAAATTAAGTTGCAGAAACCCAGTGTTTTGGGAACATCTGCCAGTTTACATGCTTTTCTTAGGTCCTTCTGCCATATAATGATGCTAGTCTACCATAATGTCTGATACTTTTGTTTTAAAAATGAGTAGCAGAGAAGGACTTGGATACTCTACATGGAAATACGGGCTTTTGCACCAATACATGGGACACAGTCAGGCTTTTAGTAAGTTCAGCGAGTCCCTAAGAATGCATGAGAAGCAGCTGCAGACCAGCGCTTGCAGGCATTGCTGTGCAGCTGTAAGCGGCATTAAGGCAGGGATTCGTACAGCCGAGCAGCTCTGTGCTGTAGGTGGGGTAAGCACGGTAACATGACAGAGCTGGAAACAACTTTTGCCTTTCTGTTGCTTTTATTGAAAGGAAGAAAGCAGGGAAAAATACTAACCACCTTTATCCAAAGGATTGCTAGGCTTTTGCAAATGTGTATTTGTTGTCTTTCATTTGGGACAAGCGTTAATCTGTTCCACCCCGTGTGTAATAACAACTGGGGGGGGGCCTGTGTCCTTGCAGACCTACATTGGTTCAATAGTTGCCTCTGTGAACCCTTACAAGAGCATCCCGGGACTGTATGACTGCACCACCGTGGAGCGATACAGCAAGCACCACATGGGAGAGATTGCACCTCATATCTTCGCTGTGGCGAACGAGTGCTACCGCTGCCTTTGGAAGCGCCATGACAACCAGTGTATCCTCATCAGGTAAATGGCGGTGGTTGTTGCTGCTGCTTTGATTATCCCTGCCTTCCGAAGTGATTTAGGAGCACGGTTTGGGCCATGTGGAGAGGAGAACTCCGAAAGAAAGCGGGCTTTTAAACCACCAGAATTTCGGAAGAGTTCTGAACTTGCTCTGTGAGCATTGTCCTGTGGACCTCTAACAAAATGTTAATTTTTCTGATGTATCTTATGATTTCATTTAGTGAAAAATTCTGTTCTATTTTTGTGCACGTTTTGCTACTCACCCATCTAATTTTACCCTAAATGCTTTCTCCACTGGTTTCAACATCCCTGTGCAGTTCAGTAGTTTGTCACCACTAGACCCTGAACCCTGTAAAGAGAGGGAAAGAAAAAATAACCCAACAGTCTTGAGAAATATGCGGTAAATAAGAATAGCAAAAGAGAAAACTCATTTCAGCCACTTAATTCTTCCTGATTAATCTTCCTTGCTTAATCTTGTTGTGCTTTGATTTAATAGCTTCCTGTTTGATCCACTGTGTCGGTGGTTTTCTGCTGCCGAATGTGTACTGCGAGCAGTTGGCGTTTCAATAGCTTTTTGCTGCTTTCAGCTCCTCCTTCCTTCTTACTCCAGAAGAGCTGAAAACTCAGCCAGCTCTTTTCCCTTTCCCCCGCCTGCCAGCTCAGCTGCATTGCCTCGCACACGGGCAGGGACACCGCAGCCTTGCCCATCGGATTGGGAGGAGCAAAAGAGCAGTTCGGTGGTGATGGCAGCGTGGCACCAGCCATTGGGTTGCGGGTGGTGATGTTTTGGGGGGGTGAGAGAGCTTGTGTTTCCCCTCCCTCTTATCTCTTGCCTTTGCAGTGTTTTTGTGATTAAGCCTGTTTGCTCTTGCCTTCCTGCAGCACAAGTTGAGTGTGGAGAGCTCTTCAGACACAAGGTGACACAATTTTGGCTATCTCCTGACCTCCATGGGAGCCCTTACAACAGCTGTGGGACTGTGGCATGGGGCAGCCAGTGGGGCAGACAGGGGGTGAGGCAGAGTGAGAGCAGCACCTTTTGCAATTGACAGTTTCCACTGGCATTTAAGATCACAGGCCAGTGTTTGCAAGGCTTCCTGGCTAAGAGGAGTGTTTGGCACATGTAGTTCAGCACCCAACCAGACGCAACACAGCTAGGTCTGGTTCTAACTTTGTGCAAGCTCTTGGGTCACAGTCCCTGCCTGCCCTCACCTCTAAGCAGGTTCTGCCTGGCAGTGGCACAAAGGTGGAGGGTGGCGAGTGTGTTTTTCAGCTTTCTTCAACTGTATTTCTCCTTTTTATTATTTAATATACAGTGCTGTACATATAAAGCTGAGTCCAGGTGACACTCCAACAAAAAATGAAATGCACAGGGATCTTTGTCATGCAAAAATAGCTAGCCTGGAGTCATGATTTTGTTTTTTAATGCCAGGTAGTTACTTGTGAACAACCTGTGTACCCAAATTTTGGGGACCGAAATAATTTCTGGTGCCTAGCAGGTAGCTGTTGGTATTTTTGCCATTCTGTACTGGCTCAAGTATTCTACCTTTCCTTCTAGTTCCCCACAAGCTGCCAAGAGAAAAGCAGGTTGTATCCTAAAAAGGACATAAGCAGAAGTCTCTCATGTTCCAGAGGAGTCTCCAGCAGTCCCCACTCTGTAAACCGTGTGCCTCGGTACAGATAAGCCATAATATGGAGAAGTTTTGCATTAGCAGTCCCTTTTGAAATTGTTTACTGTGATTATGGATTAAAACAATGATTTGGATAAGTCCAGTGTTTCAGACAACTGCCACAATACAACCTTGTCAGGGTATCTTGTTTCTACAGAAATTGAGGGAACATGCAATTCAAATTAAAAAATAAAAAATCTACTTTCCTAAAACAGTATAATCTGCTGTATCTGTGAAAGACTCAGAGCAGGTTTTTTTTAAAATTAGTGAAGGTTTTCAGTGATCCTCATGAGGTTTAGGAAAGTCCCTGTGATCATAGAATCATTTGGGCTGGAAGGGAACTTTAGAGGTCATCTAGTCCAACCCCCCTGCGGTGAGCAGGGACATCTCCAACTAGATAAGGTTGCTCAGAGCCCCATCCAGCCTGACCTTGAATGCCTCCAGGGATGGGGCTTCCACCACCTCTCTGGGCAACCTGTTCCAGTGCTTCACCACCCTCATTGTAAAAAATTTTTTCTTTATGTCAAGTCTAAATCTACCCTCTTTTAGTTTAAAACCATTACCCCTTTTCCTGTCACAGCAGACCCTGCTAAAAAGTCTGTCCCCATCTCTCATATACTTGGTTTAGGGCATCAGAAGTATATTCATCATCTTCATCATCCTGGTCATTCCTGCATCTTTTATGGGCTCAGAATTAGATGTTGCAACAAGTCACTGTCAGGCTTTCTTGGTTACTACTGACATTTGAGAAAAATGATCAATTGGATCTCTACAGTGCCTGAATTCCGGCAAATACTCTGCTCTTGTATTTAATGTAAGAGATGATAAAAAGGAAAATTTTGTTGCATCATGAAAACACAATAAACAGTTGCATCCAGTTAAAATGAGTGAAGTGTTTGTGCAGGGTTCACATTCTGATACGCAGTTTCACCTGCTCCTGACTTTGGGATCTAAACTCGGTGGGCGGCTGGAGGAGCCCCGTGAGGTAAGGAGGGGCCTGAGCGCTCCCTGACCGTCCGCCGGGCCTGGAGCGCCCCCTGCCGCCGTCCGGAGTGAGCGCCGCTTCCGTCGGGAGTTGCTTAAAGCATTAAGTTCAAAAACCTGTGGAAAAAGCTGCTGCTGTTTTGAAATGCTTGAGATATTTGTCGGGGTGGGGTAAGATGAGAGGGTTAAGGCAAGAACGTGAATTAAAAACTGTCATCAGTAGTGACTCAAAATGTAATATAAATGCAAGACCGTTTTCCCAGTATAACGACCCCAGACCAGAGGTGAAAAGGAAGTAAGTACAGAAGAGGTGATATTAAATGGAGTCATCTGAAGGTGCTTGCTTATTGGTCTGTGTTACACAGGCTTATTTTAATTCATGATAATGCTGCATAAAAATTGCTTAGCAGCCGAAAATGTCAACAAAATGGCACATTGAAGAAGCTCTGCACAACCTGTGCCTTAGAATATTTACATGGCTATGAAATAGAATATTCACTATCCTAGGCTAAAAATTGTTTATCTGGCTATTGAACTAGAGTTTTCATGTAGACAAAAACATCTACATCAATGAACGCTCAGTTTCATGTTGATCTGAACCTTACTGCAGAGTCCAGTTTCATTTAAAACAGGAGGGGGAGAAAAAAGCCCACCACAGTTACATTTGATGCTACAACAGGCATGTTAAAAAAAAAATTAAAAAAAAATTAGTGTCTTCTGATTTTTTATTTTTTTTTTTCAGCTGGGTGCCTCAGCAGTAGCATGAAGGGAGTCCATCTTACTCAAGGAACAGCCAAACAGCTTGTCTTGATGTAGGGAAGGGACTGAGTTCCCCCATGATCAGCTGATATTCACAAGTTGGGACCAAGTTCAAACCTCCACCCCTTTATTGTAAGAATAGGAAAATAGGGGTGTGTTTTTGTTGCTGCTCTGTTTAAGGTGGTCTAGTCAGTGCACAAGCAAACATATGTTCTTCTCTCAGATGCAATAGCAGTTGATCCACTTTAAAGAACTCAAAACCAAGTGTAAAGCAGTTGAAGGAGCAGCAACAGTCACCCTGAATGACATTCAGGTCAGTGCCACAAGTGGTAAATCACAGGCTGACACCAGTTTGTTCTGTTACCATCTAATGCCCTGACATTTTTGGTGGTGGTGGTGAGCTTAGAAATCAATGTGAACCAAAGTACTGTTTGGCTGAGACCCAGAGTTGTGAGGGAAGACATTCTTACAAAACTGTCGCCAGAATTCACATGTGCGTTTGACGAACTGTATTTGCTGAAGGGGCCTGTGTTGTCTGTGTGTATCTCTCTTTGGGGTTTTAAAGCCAGCAGAGAGAATTTGGACATGATTTAGAGTAGTGATGATACTGCCTCACTCGCATTATGTCCTTCAGAATGCACCTCTCTGGGTGACCCCTCTTTCCACTGCAGCAGTCTGGAGTCTGGCCTGCTGCGCCCTTAGCAAGATGCCCTGCATAGAACAAGTCACGGAGAAAGTCTAAAGATCTCCTAAGTGAGGGCCTTGTGGGTTGCTGCCACACTTAATATATTCACAGTACTGAATGTAGTGATGTGGAATGAGCTGGGCACTTAAACTCATGGGGTGGAAAGGTTGCTGGAAAGGCTGGCTGTGCGCTAAAAAATTCACCCTTTTACTGACCTTGGCAACTTCTTGTAGGCTTTGGCTTTCTAAGGAGTCTGAAAGGTTGATCCCACTTAACCTACCTTAGTGTATGTACTGTAGGGTTGAATAAACAACTTTAAAGTTTAGCATGCTTGTTCTTGATTTTCATCTCATTCATAGTAACTTGTTTTTATAAAGCATTTTGTAAAGAAAAAATGCAGAGACAATTTGATGCACATAAAATTATGGGTCCCAAGCTGAGCAACACCGTACAAGGGTAAGATCTTACTGTCATGCCAGAGGGCTCCAGGTGCTCAGTGCTCAATAGTAATTGTAAAACTGAATAGAATAGAGCGGTAACTAGTAAATGAACATTGGGTAAATCCATCCTTTGCTTCGATCATGAGTATTTTGCATGAGTCTCTTTCCCCCATGCTTGATATACAGGAGGACTTTGTGGAACTGGAGGTGGTTTAGAGGAGAACAGAAAGGAGTGATCAGAAGTATAGCAGTGCCCCATATGTGGGAATGGCTAATGGAGACGGGCAGCTCAAACTGGGGGGGGTGGCTGTCCATGAAGTTCTGCACAGCAGAGGGAGGGAGCACTGGGATGAGTTGTTGATTTCTCCTTCCAATACGAGAACTAGGGGGCGTCGAATCTAATAGGAGGCACACCTGAAACAAGAAGACATGTTCATGTGCTTTTTAGGGGAGTATGGTTAGAAACTC